GCAGGGGGCGCCTTTCAACAGGAAACTCCTTCCCCTTTCCTGACTCTCAGTGAGGTCCGGGAGATGCCCGGCAGACACGTGTGGGAGGACCAGTGAGGCCTGGCCCGGACGCCACCCAGGGCCAGCGAGCCGCCCCCCCACCCGAGGGGGGCCCTCACGAGCGGCTCTGCCCAGGCCTGCAGGGCCACAGGGAACGATCTTAGGCATTGAGTTTCCTTCAAGGGTCCTCTTTTATCCGAAAATTGGGTGAAATGCGCATTGTACTCCACGGGAATTTCGAGGACACGTAAGAATCGCATTTTAAAGAGGAATTCTTAAGGAATCAAATGTGAAAACATGTACCCCGACCAGCAAGATATTTACTCTACGCGAGACAAAGCACGTGCCGGCCGCAATGGCTCTTTGAAAGCAAAGCTGGCAGCAGAGTCAGCACCAAACACCAAGCAGGCCCAAGGGGGCGGGCCCGGCCAGAGATGGGGTGTCCGGCTCAGCGCGCATGCAGACCCGGCTACGCCTATCCCCGGGACCGGATGCGGGAGGTGGCAGTGGGCTCTCGACGGGGCAAGAGACGGCCACCATGCGGGGCCCGTGGACCAACGCCACGCACACAGCCTCAGTTGATCAGGGGTGGGGGGGTACAACCCCAGGACCAGGCGTACCTGGGAGCTGAAGGGGAACGGGCTGCAGGTCACCGGTCACAGCCAAATGCCACTCCCGCAACTCACTCGGCGTCTTCAAACAAGCTGGTCAACACCACGAAAACACTCACCCGGAAGACGCCTTCACCAATCAGACCGCGAACCCCATTCATTAAAAAGACAACGAACTTGAAACAGAAGAACGTGTTTTTGGATATCCCCTGCCTCCTTTGGAAAATTATGGCAAACGGGGGTAGTTTTGCCAACATTTGGAGTTCTGTGTCATATCTGTACACGGCCAGAGGCCCAGTCCTGAGTGACTTTCACACGGAGCCAATCACTCAATTCTTTGATGAATGATTCAATCCATTCATTCATCATTTCACAATGAACGTCAAAATTCTAAACATATACAAATCAAGAACTGTATTCTGAATTCAGCCAAAAGATCCAATTTAAAAAATTCAACGAAATGAAAACCATAATCTGACTACTCACCACGGCCTGGCTGGAGCTTTCCTGCAGATCCCACAGCAGGAGGTGGTTGTCCGCCAGCGAGATGACTCTCCTCCCGTCTCCCGTGGGCTCCCACGTGACACTGGGACAGGGAGAAGTGTCAGATGTTGTTAACACGGACGGTCGACATCCCCACGCCCGTGGCTAAGAGCTTCCCGCGTCCTGCATAAAGCAGCAAGGCCGTGACCTGGCTGCGTTTACCTCGGCAGTGCTGGGGCGCCCTGTGCTGGCCCTGTCTTCTCTGCTGGGGACAGACCGTCCGCGAGAGGTGAACGTTGCTGCCGGTCAGGCCCCAGCCTGTAGTGTGGCTATGGCAGCCGAGCTGGCTGGACACGGGCGACCAATGCGTCCTCCCTCCCAGGGACCGAGAGCTGACCGATGCCGGCCGAGGAGCCGTGCAGGGGCCTACGGCTGGGCCTTAAGGAGGCACAGACAGACGTCAATCTGGGGTCAGGCGGCCACGCCTCTTGGAGCCGTCACCTCACCAGCCCTGACGCGCTAGGCACTGGCGGACGGGAGGCAGAGCCACGGGCAGAGCAGGGGCTCGTGGCCCTGATGAGCCTGGCGGAGACCGCCTGCCGCGGCATCAGGCCGTTTCCTGCATTCCAGCCAACTTGAGTCGGCTCCCCGTTATCTGCAGCTGCAGCCATCCTGCCTGACACGGTGCGTGTGCAAACAGTCATCAAGGACCAGAACGCGCACCGCCCCAGGGTAAAGCCACGGAGGGGTCGCGAGGGCTTGGTCTGGTCACAAGCGTGAATCTGTCTTTCCTGGTGACGTTCTCAAAGTGCTTCTGAAGAGGAGAATGTCATTTCACTTACTCGGACACGTGCGTCACCGAAGCCACTGAGGAGGAGCCCGCCACCTCCTCTGCAGACGGGGC